ATATATATATATATATATTATTTTCGTGATCCACTTGATGCCCGTTCTTGAATGAAGTCCAGACTTGAGGATTAATATGCCTGCGTGTAATCACATGTGTATGAGTTGATATGCCTTTTGATATTATTCCCTCTTTTGATATGTTTGTATATTTTCTCCCTTAAAAACAAATATATAGGTTTCAAGTCTCAAATCAAGCGTTATTTTCCTTTTCTGTAGTTGATGTAAATTGTAACACAGGATTAAACATTTGGAATTGTTTTGTTCCCAGTATATGATATAAAAAAACATGTGTTTCTATGATACAGAATGCACGAGCAAATATAGCCCCGAGTGTGATGTCCCCTGGTCAATTGTTTGGAGTCTAATGTTTGTTTAAACATCCTAATCAATCTTTTTCACATTTTTCAGAGTGTTAGGGCTCCATTGACAAGTGCGAGTGGATATGCGGAAGCTCCAGAGACACAGGGAAGAGAGCAATGGCGAGGTCGATGATTTTCAGTAGAAATGGTTGAGGCTTTCTCAGATGCAAAGGTTTAAGGTCGATGATTTTCAGTAGAAATGGTTGAGGCTTTCTCAGATGCAAAGGTTTAAGGTCAATTTTTAACAGCAAATGGTCGAGGCTTTCTCATGCCCAAGGGTTTGGGGTCAATTTTCATCAGCAGATGGCTAAAGTCGAGGCTTTCTCAGGCAGTTTTGAGGTCTTTTTTCAGCAGCAAGGGTAGAGGTTCTCAGGCGATAGGGTTTCATTTTTTAGTAGCAAATGATAGAGATTCTCAAGCGCTAGGGTTTCGTTATCTAGCAGAAAGGCTTTTGAGGTCGTTTTTCAACATCAAATGGTAGAGGTTGTCAGGCGATAGGGTTTTGTTTTTTAGTAGCAGATGATAGAGATTCTTAGACGACGAGGTTTCGCTTTTTAGTAGCAAATAATAGAGGTTCTCAGGCACTAGGGTTTCACACTTGCGACTATAAATGGTAGAGGTTCAGTTGCTAAGGTTTCGCACTTGAGACAACAAATGGTAGAGGTTCTCGTCGTTAGGGTTTGAGAAGCCTATGGACCTCAAAAAATTTCTTAAATCTAACTTATCGCAGGACAGTGATAGGTCAATGGCTTTAAGCTTCGTTTCCATGGAAAGTAAATTCCACTTAATTTGGTGGAATTGAGATTTCGAAAATTTAGGCTTAAAAGGAGGATTCAGGAACCCCCACAAAAAATCAATTTCGTCTTCAAGGTGAACCAAACAGGATAGCCTGGAAAAGGAACCCAAAATCTGAATCCAAGGAACCAAACAGGTATTCAACGTTTAATTTTTGGATCCAAAATTATGGTAATGTAACCTCTTAGACCCTTTAGATTAACCTTAACTAAAAAAAATTCCTAACTGCACCATCCATCCACTTAAAAAAAAAAAAATCCCGAGACTGAATAGATGCCATCCATTTCTTTAATGGTGAGTTTTAAGCGTTAGCAAAATCAAAATTTAAAATTTTTTTAAAAATAATTTTCTAGTGATTCTTATGAGGTCTCCAAAATTCTAGACTAAAAAAATCTCATAAGTTGGTCTTCTGGCAGCGAAGTAAGGGTTTCATAAGGAATAAATGTAATAACAAACAATTGCAATATTTCTAAGGCTCGAATCATGCTCTTGGTCCCAATTTACCTTCACCTCACGTTATTTCCATTTATATTTATTTATTTATTTACCCAAAATTTATCTTTTTCATTTATCTAATTCAATGGTATTTTAAATATTTATATTATTTTATGTCCCTGTCACTGCAATCTCAGGCTTTTCCATGCTTCCTCGACTGCGTCCAACTTCTCCTCTTCCTCTTTGCCGTTACCTCATTTCTCCATTCAAACATCCCAGCCAAATCAATGGCGCTCTCTGCTTCAAGTAAGCTCTCTCTCTCTCTCTCTTTCTCTCTTTTCCTCTCTCTCTCTCTCTCTCCTATTTCGTCCCAAAAAGCTATTTTCAATCTCTCTCTCTCTCGACT